TCTTCTTTTTAGATCCTCTAAGAACAGGGAAGATAAAAATTCAAGATATTTTAGCATGCAGCTTCCTAGATGATTTATTGAAGCTAAGGGATGAGGAACTATCCAAGGAAAGTCAAGAAACAAATTGGTATTCTGCTCCTTCTGCCCTAAGGGTTTATGGCCAGTATTTGAATCTTGATAAGGATCACAATAGCATGCTAAGTAAAGAAGAACTCTCCTGCTATGGAAGAGCAACCATGACAAATGTCTTCTTAGATCGTGTTTTCCAGGAGTGTCTCACTTATGATGGAGAAATGGATTATAAGACCTACTTGGACTTTGTTCTTGCACTAGAAAACAGAAAGGAACCTGCAGCTCTACAGTATATTTTCAAACTTCTTGATATTGAGAACGAGGGATATCTGAATGTCTTTTCCCTTAATTATTTCTTTAGGGCCATACAGGAACTAATGAAAATCCATGGGCAAGATCCTGTTTCATTCAAGATGTCAAGGATGAAATCTTTGACATGGTAAAACCAAAGGATCCTCTGAAAATCTCTCTTCAAGATTTAATCAATAGTAATCAAGGTGACACAGTTAGCACCATTCTAATTGATCTGAATAGCTTCTGGGCCTATGAGAACAGAGAAGCTCTTGTTACAAATGACAATGAAAACTCTGCAGACCTTGATGATACATGATCTTTGAAAGACTAGACTGTCTTCATTAATGTATGGTGCAGTGGTACATGCAAAACCTTTGAAGCACAATCCTTAGAAATGGTCTAAATAAAACACTGCATATGCCTATAGATCACCGCATATGTTTTAGTTCCTGGTATTTTGGTTGTGACACTATGGAGGCAGTAGGACCAAATATTGCTTCTGAGGAGATGGTTAAGTTCTTGTTCCATTTAGTTCAAAATAAACCTTTGTGATTTGATGCTTGATGAAGGTGTTCAGTTTATGTAATCTTTAAAGGTAAAGGAAGTTTTCATGGACTGTTTTTTATATGAGTCATTCAGAATCTGAATATTTGAAAGAGTTTCTCTTGGGATGTTTTAATAAAAAGTATTCAAATGAAAAAAATATTAATTTAAAAAATAAAATAAAATAAATTTCATACTTGAAGTAAATAGAGATTGGAGAACTATTTTAGATAAAAAGAGTCATGAAAGTAAATACCTTGTACAAATTAGAAAAGGTCAGTAAACTTGAAGACACAATAATAAAAACTATATAAAATGAAGGAAATAAAAACTCATTTTGAAAAATGGAAAGGCCATCAGTAATCTGTGTAACAACTTCCAATTGCCTACCAGAAATATAATGCTACTTTCTGCCAAACAGGATTGTGACACTGCCAAAGGCCTTGGAAATGGCATGCCCACTTACTAGGAATAACAAACGTGAAGAATGAGACCAGTATCTGAAAGGGAGAGGATTGGATGCTAGAGGGTAGGTGGGGAGGGGCAGAGGGAAAACACTTAGCAGAATGTAAGGTATCTCTACTAGAAATGATGTTTATGGTAATAATATCCTTAATCTGATAGCAATGCATTGAGTGCATAATACTGTGCACTAAAGAGATACGTGATGACTGAATGTAAATAAGAAAATTTAAAAATGAGAGAAAAAGAGACAGTTGATCACTGAAGCACATAAATAGTCCCACGTAGAAGTGGCCTCGCTCTGGGACCAGCAGTTAGCATAATGGCTATGTTGCTGGACTCCCATAGTTGACCATGGTTCGTGTCCCGGACCCGGTGGCTTACAACTCACACCGGGTGCCTGTGCATGCGTGCCCAAGATCCCAAGAGGAGAATGGATGAGAAGGGATTGCGGCGTGGTCATCCCCCCGGGGGGTGATGTCTCACTTTCTGTCTCTCTGTCTCTCGCTGTGGCGCCGGCCCCCCAAAACAAAAAAATCTAAAAAAAAAAAAAAAAAAAAGAAGTGGCCACGCTCTAGTCAACAGCTAACTTTTATAAATTTGTAAGTGGAAGTCAAGAAGTTCACCTAGCCAAACCTTTTGCTAATGACTTCCATGGCTTTACATCACTGTTAAGTTGTTACTGCATATAATAAAGATGTCACAATAAAAGAACAAAAGATTCTGGACCTTCATCTTTCATTAAATTTTGTATCACTATTTTTGACTTTGTTTTGTTAGGAAACAGACAATGAAAAATTACCTATCTGAAGGGGGGGGAATGAAAGAAAACGCTGTATAAATTTATAAAATAAAATATTTGAAGTGTTTTTAAGTGAAAAACAAGAGTATATTTCAAAACAGCAAATAGAAAGTTGCCCATATGCATGAATGGGTTTAATGCCACATGGTTTCATTTGTAAAACTACAATCCTAAAACACTAGAAGGGATCAAGTATCTCCTCAGAGTTTAAATACACTTCATACATCAAACCCTTGCTGAATCTGATTTATCTAGCTTCATTTTTTATTTACTTAATAAATAAATAAATTTAATAAATAAGTAATGTCAATACCTTTAGGATGTACCTTACTGACTCCCCAGGGACGTTTATATTACTAGCTACCGTTGAACAAGGAGGAGGAAAAAAAGAACGCATACCTCCTATTATGGTTGAAATCTAAAATAAATTTATTTTTATCTTGATTTAAGCATATCATACTGACTGACTGCTTACCCAAAGCCTCCTAAAGGTCAAAAGGTAACTGTAAAAATTCAATATTATATATTTGTGTTTAATCTAAATCAGGCTTAATTATACTAAACTCATTATTAAGAATAACATCTTCTAGTACCCCTATAGTTAGGGGTCATTCATTATTTCCTTTTAGAAAAATAAATGAAAAAGTAACTTTGTCATTCAGTAAGGTCTCATTCATAATGAATTTCATAGTTCATTCTATATTTTTTACAAAAAAATATTTAAAGTATCTGACATAGTCAAATATAAATTATCTAAAAGTTTTAAGAAAACGGCATTTTCTTCTTTTAGCCTATTTATTTAAACAAATCTTAGACCAATTTCTACTTAAAATGTATCAACGATTTAATGTTTACAGTACTTTAGCAGTGTTTAACAAGTGTCATTATTACTATAGAACTTACTTTCCCTAATACTGATTGTAAAAGAAATTATTTCTAAATATGAGTAAAGGCATGTGCCCATATTCAACTGAGTAACAAGATGCCTTTTTTTTTTTTAAGAACAATCATAGAAAATACAAACGTACATAAATGTACACACACTTTCTGTTTACCACACACCAGGAAATTTTATCTCATTTTATCTTCCCGGTAACACTATGGAATAGAATATATTATCCTAATTTTACAAATGAGGATACTGAGAGACAAAAGTCCAGTGACTTGGCAGTGGTCACAGTATAGCAAGCAGTCCAATCCTAGAACCAAACCAACCAGTCTGATTCCAGTGCAGAAGACAAACGCTGCATATCCAGTTTGAGGTGAACCAAAGCCAACCCAAGGCTGTACTATTCAGCAGATAAAAACGAATATCGAGGAGCACAGTGTAACACACGAGGTGGCAGACATCATATGTGGGCAAATCTGGTTTTTGGTGTATGTTTGTTTTGTTTTGTTTTCCTTGTAAATGACCAGATACAGACTATGCCAGAAGGAAATAGGCCAAAATGTTAATCTTTAGCACTGCACAACAAGATCTGGACACATCGTTCTTCCTTTCTAATTTTTGTCCTTTTAAAAACTGACAAAAAGTGTGAATCTTTTTTATAACCAAACAAGAGAAAGAAAATTAAAATGCAAAAGGAAAGTTTGACAGACTTCAAGAATGCTTTATTTTGACACTATGGCTGATGCACTTATCTATAGTTGAAGGTGATAAAAGATGGCTGAAGATTATGGCTATTTATTCCAAAAAGGTTTACGAGAACTCAGTACTATAGGAGAGCAAAAGTAGAAATATATATATAGTCTGAATTCGAAAAGGACCATTTAAAACAAATAAAAAGAGGTGAAGCAAAGGAAAATATTAGTAGTACAACTAAAAATCTGAAGAAAGATTTTAATGACTAATACATGAGTACTTAAGATTACACAAAAGTAAAAACGAATGTGTTTCAAAAAGGTCTGAGCTAATAAACATTTAGTTACATATTTAAAGATTTCCCAGGGAAACCATGGCAGTCTGTGGAGAATCATTATATATCACTGTGTTTCTAAGCTAAGCATTTTGTGCTCTGTATTACACCCACCGCTAGGCATTATTTGCTCCTACCATACATAGAATTCCTGAAACTTGAAATTTTAATTTTTCACTTTTGGACTTGAAACCTTCATTTCAACCACCTCCTATATTAACTTCCTAGCACTGCTTTTTCTGCTGTTCGAATTAAATAAGGCTTTATAATTTTTGTACTGTTTCTGAACCTAAGACAAAACTGATTCCTTCGTCTTTTTCATAAAATTCACTTCATAAATTACATAAAAATCACTTAAACTCTATATGAGTGTCCTCAGAGGTATATTACCTTCAATTACATGCCTTTAAAAAATTAGTAGGCCTGGGGCCAGCAGTTGTCATGGTGGTTAAAGTGCTGAACCCCACATGACCAACCGCAGTTCAACTTCCAGACCTGCGCAGCTTGAAAATCACGCCAGGCACAAATGTGCATGCATGCCCAAAATCATCAGAGGAGACTGGAGGGGAAGGAATTGAGGCCTGGTCATCTCCCCTGGGTAGTGATTTCTCACTTTCCCTCTCACTGCCTCTCTCTGGAGAGCATACATGCCCTTTGGCAAAAATCTAAATAAATAAAAATTTTTAAAAAGATTGGTAAACTGTAAGTATTTCGTATAGTACAATAAATAAGAGGACATTTAACTATTTCTTTGATAGTAATAATGAAACTGCTTAGAAAAAACTGATTAGAAATAAAAGTAGCAACCTTTTTACATTTGGGGCGTCTTCTTCATATAAACATTTTTACTTACTAGGAAATTAAATATACTCACTCAATTTTGTGTTCTATGGCTTCACATTTGTTCTTACCAGTATCCATTTGCCAGACATACACGGAGCCATCTGAACATCCCACTACTAGGTAATCATCAGAAGGCCTCCATTTGATTACTTGAATAGGGAAAAGGTGACGAGAAGCCAGCATGATGCATTTTTTCTCTCGCAAACTTAGAAGTCCTACTGAATGGTCACTGGCTACAGAGCAGATGCAATGCTGCACTCTTGCCTGAAAAGAAAAACAAACCTTAAATATATTTACATTAAATGCAGAATTTGAAGTGAATCCAGTATTCAACCACTTAAACCAAAATTAATTATATATTCACTACCACTGAAAAATAACCTTGATATTAGGTGGTGTTGAAAATGCATATCTTTATGTTATATACAAAATTTCTAGTTCAATCATCAAAACACTTTTGAAAATACAAAATTAATCCTTGGTTAAAGATTGCAAAAGAAGCCTTGGAAAATCTGCTGTTCACATGTGAAGATAACCTTACAGAAATGATTGCTATTTCTGAGCAGGCAAAGCTGGAAAAAAATTGATCTGTTATTATGTGTTCTTTCCACAGTACCAACTTTCCTTTGTCTGCTGCTAGTGCTGCTCTCCGCAGTGCTTCTTTCTGTCCGTGACTCTGTCATTTAGACCCAGTGTTCTTCCCTGCCACCTTTGCTCAAAAACAATACCCTCACGAGCCATCTCTCACAGTCATTTCTATGGGGCTGGGGCACAGATCTGCATTCTCTGTAGGTACATGTCCCTGTTTCCTTCACAGATTCTGTTTCTAATGTTAGCAGGTGCACCACCTCGGACAACCACACAATAGCTGATTAAACATTCTATATATTTTCTGCTTGTCTCTAATTTTTGACTTTCAGTTCCTTTTTGGAACGAGATAAAGACAGTGAAGATTTACATTAGCAAAAGAGAGAGGAATCAAGAACCTAGAAAATTAAGAATTAAAGTCTTTAAATTTGTGTATGACAATTTATAAACTGATTAAACCTTAACTTAAAAAGAAAGAAAAAAATTAAGTGAAATTACAGTACTCTCTCACGTCATCCTAAAGGAAATCATATGAAAACAGTCACCTGAAACTCATTATTGTATATAATGTAATTATTTAAGGAAGATGAAGCTTGCTACACCGTATAGCCTCCCTTCTTTGCGATTTAAAGGAAAAACTTGCCAAACCTCACCAGGCTGGGTTTTTCCTAAGTAAACAGACTGTTTTTCTACCTAAAGATCAGTATCTTGCTGATTCCCCAAATGGGGAATGTTGACAGGTGTTAGGTGAAAAAAGAGGGGAAGGCTGGTAGCCAAATGTGCATGGGAAACACTGTTGCTTCCTAGTCATTGTTTTCAAGGCTTCTTTCTTTCTTTCTCTCTTTCATGAGAAAGAACAGATGAGCACGTTCAAACAGGGTGGCACACAACAATCCTACCCGCTGCCTTTCCCAGCCAGTCCTTCCCATACATGCCCCATGTTGACCAATGGAACAAACTCCAATGTTCCATGTGACTGCCAGCATTACAGAACGTTGGTGTCATTGTGTTTTTAAGCACAGAACTTCCAAGAACCTTCAAAATGCTGATAAGAATTGTAATAATCTCTACAAGGGGATGCATCATTCACCTCTAAATTTGTCTGACCTTGTTAGTCTTGTTAGACCTGGTTTTAGAGGAACACACTTGGGGGAAAGCTGCTATAACTGGCCCCTTCTACGTTTTGACCTCTAAGAAACTCAGGACTCAGTGTTCAGCCAACCAGAGTGCTGAGGCTAGGGTTGGATCTTGGACACATATACCCAAACATGACTGGTCAGTGGCCTCCTCCCTTTACCAGCTTTCCCTTTATTTTTAACTTACTAAATTAGGTTCATTTCTGTAAATAACCTAATATCAGTTTTTCAATGAAGAAGGGCATTACTAAAACAAAGATAACAGTAAGACTTACTTAACCATTTACTATGTCCTTAAATTCAGGTGTTTTAATCTTCTATTCCTTGTGACTAGTCTATTTGTACTTCCTATTTTATAATTTAAACACAATACTTAGCATAGCAAGTGTTTACTAATTTTAAAAGTTAAGTACAGTAAGTTCAGAAAAATGGTGTAATAAACCTTATAAAATACAGAATTTTCTTAAGCATTTGTTAAGACTACTTCATTTTCTCTGATAAACATTCAACTGAAATATGAAACATGATTTCATTTAAATATATATATATATA